GATCTGTTTAATCTGTAGATCAGGCATGGCAAACTCAGGCCCGTGGGCCAAATGCGGCCAGCGAGAGACCATTTTTAGTGGCTCCCGAAATGATTTTCATTTATCAGTATCACAGTATCATGCAACATTGGCATGTTATACTTCCTTTTATAGATAAATTTCTCAGGAAAGCAACCATATAATTGCGTCTGAAAGGCTAACATGTAATAAGAAATTGAAATTGAAATTGTGACCAATTGTGATTGAATCCAACTGCTAGAAAACAAACTAGAAAACAATGTCCAAACTCATATTTAATAAAATTCATTTGTCAAAGTAAAAAAATTCACTTTTATACTTTTGGCCCCAAACAGATTGTATATTTTTAAAGTTGGCCCCAACCAGAATGAGTTTGACATCCCTGCTGTAGACGGTCAATTTGTTCTCTATTAAGGCCAAAGATTAGTGCATTACCATAATTGAGACGTGAAGTAATCAAGGCATGTAAAATCAATTCATTTTAGATCGTGACACTTTGGGTCTACACTTTGATGTTTGAAAGACGAAAAGAAGTCCGAGAAAAGTACTCAATGTGCTGCTGGTAAATTAGGGCCTGATTAAGAGAAATTCCAAGGTCTCTAAGAGAATGTTGGCCATAGACTGTGCAACGATGGACAATGCTCTATTTCACTGAAGCCCTATAAGGAAGAGCCCATAGACGAAGTTTTTCTAACCTGGCAAGAGCCAGATTGATGATTGTGTAGAACTCTAATGCGTTCTCCACAATATCAATCTGGGACTTCTGCAGGAGAATCCTTTCAGGGAAAGGAGGGATAAGCAGCAGAATACTTCAAGCTGATTGGGCGAAGTGACGCCGTGTGCCCGCCTACCAAAACTCGTAGGTAAAAATGCACAAACATCTTTGCCGTCCAGAAATGCACAAAGCGCCTCTCGCTGTTCATCTTTCAAAAAAGAAATTAGAGATTCTGCTAAAACTGACTTGATAGCCTCAGCTACGCGTCCGTCCTCCTGCGTAGCCATGTTTGTTTTGCTTCGGCCCGGCACTTCTTGCTTCAGATTCAGATTCAGATTACTTTATTTACCATTGTGAAAAACACATAGAAATTTGACTTGGCAACATGACAGTGTGCATTCATCTTTTTTCACATATAATTTAACAAAAAAGTGCAAGAGATATAAATAGAATAGTGTAATAAAGTGCCATAGTGTTCAGTCCTTGTTCCTAGGGGGCAAGGGAAGAAGGGAAACCAGCGTCAGTGAGCAGTGCTTTCGTCAAACCCGGATATCCCGCCCTAAACCCCCAGACTGGCGCGTGATTGGCTTGAACACCTAGATGTTCTACTCGAAAAGGATTGGCGGGAGCGGGGCAAGATGTATTCTCGAGTGTTTGTGAACTCACAAATACCACAAGAATTCAGCTTGCAGGCAAGGTTAAAGTTTCTGCTTCTTGCTCTAGCTATCGATTTACATTGACAAGTAAACTCCTCTAACCGTCACAGTTTTGGGCTTTCATTGTTCAGCACTCAGTATCCGGGGGGTTTTAATTTTGATATTGTTGGGTCAATAAGAATTGACCCATCAGAGGCTTTCATTCACCGTGGTAACTCCAGCTTGACTTAGCAACCCTCCTAGCAATGCGCTTGCCTCTGCTACGGCGCAAAGCTAATATCCTCGAAATAAATGCCCATGTAAGGAAATCGGCTCCAGATAGTTTATGTTCAAATTGGGGTCTTCTTCCTCTACGCTCTGTGCATTCTTGGAGATTGCGTGATCAGTGCCAGGGTTAACTATTGTTGTGCCTGTTTTAGATTTTGATCTTTCTTGCCGCTCAACCCGATATCTCCAGTGGTACTGTGTGTGTGTGTGTACGTGTGTTTTCTCAGTGACGCACCTAACTTTCTGGCAGTCTGCTCCGTCGCACATGGCGTAGGCTCAGAAGTAATTAAAGTGAGGCGTGCAGAGCTTAAGTGTTCCTTCTGACGGTGACGGCAGAAAGACGGTCTGTTCGTGAGAGAAGTATAGCAGCGCCATAATTAGTCAAAGCGCAGATGCAGACAAAGCAGAGAGGGACAAATTACATGGTTTTAAACAATCATGGGAAATTTTGTGTTTGTGCCTAGAAAAACATCATAGTGAACTAAACTAAACAGCTGCTGAGATATGTGTACAAAGTATCATTGTGACTTTTTTAACACATTTTCTATGTTTTCGTCTCCAGCCTTCACTTCTACTTCTTTGTGGGCTCCTGCTGCACTAGGTTTCTCTTGTTGCTCTGGTGTGCATTTTCTATTTGTTTGCTTTTTTTTGGCCAAATACTGCTATAATTGTTTGATTTTTTCTATCCTGATAATGGCAAATCAACAATTGTGAGCAGTCTATCAAGACGGCTTTGCAAAAAATAGATTGATTTGATATAGCTATCTATTTAATTTTGATGATTGGTGGCTCCTCTGAACCTTGTCCCTGTGGCGCCACCTGCATGTGAAAGCCAGATAATATCAGACCTCTGAAGCTAAGCAAGACAAAACCTGGTTAGTTCTGAGATGGGAGACCGCTGGGAACACCAGATGCCACTGTGGGGCGGCAATAATGTGGCAAACCGTTGTAGTGTTCTTAAGACACTTCACTCACATTGTCTCGTGTTGGTGGTGCTCTGTGGGGCTGATGGCACATACTGTTTGCCTCGCCTCTGTCAGTGTGCTGCGCGGTTACAATAATAGCAATAATAGTAGCCACCTAAATAATTTCATGTGATGTGTCTTTGAGTGTCCAAAAAAGCGCTATATAAAACTGATCAATCAAAAATGTCAAAATTGACTTAAAATTTAAACAGAAGAGATTTTGTTTTCCTTTCCCTTATTTGGTTGTGGGCTGGCCTGTTTTTCAGACCATCTTGCTGCTGTGTTTTAAAGGTGCCAATAGTTGGTTTCATTATCTTGAATCAAATAGTTAAAATGTTCTGTCAGTTATTGTAGGTTTGTAGGTACTGATGAGTTTTTTAATAATATGTAAAATATGATTTGCATAATAGACTTATTTTTCCATCATCAAACCCAGATCTGGAGTTGTTTTACACATCAGGAACTTAGCACAAACAAGTGACCCTGCCCATTCTGTCTAAAAGCTCCTGTCTCAGTCCTTTATTAGTATGATGTCATTGTACTACTATGACATCATACTCAGAGCACTTCTCCGCTTTTTAAAACCAAACGCTTGCTCATAAAGTATTTTTGGCAATTTCACAGTTTTTACAATCACATATGCTTTCGTTTGTAGGCAACAATTTGGAAATTTGGTAATTTGTCGATAAGAAAAATATCGACATACATTCTACTGCGCCCTCTGGTGGTAGCATAGGGGATGACCAATGTTTGGCCTCTCATAGGGAGAAGTTAGCTCTGAAATACTTCCTGAACTGGTTTCACTGGTTGAATAGGCCCATCTTTCTGGCCTGGCTTTTGTTGTTATGAGCAGTTATGGTCCTATTGTCAATCTATGTTCAATTGACTTTTCCAATCTCTTTAATTTTGATACTTGTGGAGGGCTCACACTGCTATATGTTTGAATGTACAGTATTAAAAACTCACACAAAACACCATTGAATTGTTAAAATTTACTGTAATCTTTAATCTCTATGTACATCTCCAGCCCTGTACCTCCCCCAATAAAGGAAAAAAAATTGAATACTTTTCATATATGTTGTGAGTTTTACAGCTTCTGTACAGGAGTTCTGTTTTCATGAGTCACATTTAGGGCAGAAACATCATTTACTTTGTTCCAAAAACCAAGAACGAGCATAAATGGATTTGACAGGGGACACAGCTCATGGGGGCATGTACAGAAGCAGCGGGACTCAACTATGTACAATACAAACCATTCATACAAATTAGGCTCTAGGATATAATTCAGTACAATACATTTGTATATATTCAGTGACAATGAGCAAGCCCCTTTCCCCATGGACCACATAAGCCCAAAATGAAGCAACCATATTCTGTCCAGAGGCAACTATTCCCACACACAACGCCTCTCACACCCAGGTCTTTGATGCTCAGCCGTGCCTCTTCAGCTGCCTTGCAAGATCATTTTTTTATATAGTTTTTTTCTTTCTTTTTTTCTCAGTGTATTTCCAAGTTTTGCAGGAAATCTCCAAAAGCATAGCTGTGGCAGACAATCCGTTTTGTCCAGGGGATAATGCACAGTCGAATGAAGGAGATATGGAGGAATTAAACACAACATACATCAAACTTAATAATACAATAAATAATGGCAAAGTGTAAGAAAAATATGTAACTCAAAGATGAATGTGTTCCCCCCCATTTGAATGATTTTAAATAAGATTCACAATAAGATCAGGGCATTTATTTGGTTAAAAACTTAAACTAAAATTTAATTCTGAGTTGCAGCCCTTGTTTGTCACCAACATCCTGTCAACAATACCAAATTGTTAATAGAAAATAATAATATTTAAATAAGCTTACTTTTCAATTACTTTAACCTATTTTTGTTGACTCAAATGATAGAAAAGGTGATGCAAAGTGAATCAAAAATCAACAACCATGTAAGACAGAAAAAAACCATTACAGTAGGTCCAGATCACAACATAATCTTCGGAGACTACAATAACTTCAGGGTCCACGATAACGATTCCTTTTAAAGTCAATTTCTTGTCGACACCAGTCCTCAGTTTCAGAACATAAAGAGGTTGCCTTTGGATGACAATATCTATGAACAAATAACCAAAACCTTGCTAACTACGCTAGCATAAATCCCGACTAAGAAAATAACACATCTAGAAACTCAACCAGGGGGTTTCGTCAGGGTCTTAAAAAGTGTAAGAACAATGATGGTGCAGTTTCTCTGAGTAGGAACCCTTGCGCTGGTCCTGGTTCAAGTTTTGTTTTTCCAAGTTTTCCGCGCCGTCAGCCGGAGGGAAGTACGGCGTGTCGCTGTGGTAGTTGTAGTCCGGGCAAACCTTCTGAACCAGTTTGTAGTCAGTGCTATAGAAGGAAATGAAGATGCAGATGACTTTGAAAGGCTTTCGAGCAGAGCCAGGACACGTGACTCTGCGTCTGCTCCTGGTAGCATGTCTTGGACGGGTCAAAGTTGCAAAGCGTGTTCTTGGCTCCCTTCTCCACCTTCTCGTACTCGATGCGACAGTTGAACGACTTGGAATCCTTGGCGTCGATCACGGATTGTTGAGCAGCCACGTCGAACTCCACGATCTTGGTGGGCGGGACTAGGCTCACCGAGACGTTCCCTTGACCCGTGGAGTTGTGTCGGAAGTACACGCTGAAAGTCCCGTTGCCGTGGTCGACGATCTTCCCGGTGATGAGTAGGTTGAGTTTGACGGTCTTGATGTTGGAATGGAAGTCTCCCCAGCCGAACATCTTCTTGAACTTGCCGTCTTGACCATAGGCCGCCGTTTGGCCCGCGGCCGTGAGTCCTGGAGGTCCGTGGTGTTCCGCAGCCACTCCCACAGGTCCTGCTCGGAGTACGGTTCAGGCGTGTCGTAGCGGAGGTCCAAGGCTGTGTTGTTCTCTTTGCCGTGAAGAGTCTGCGAGAGTAATCGGCTGATCGACAGGTCCTTGCTGCTTTCTGTCCATATGTGCTTTAGCGTGGATTTAGGGCTGCCTGATTTGATGATGTCCGACTTGGAGGCGTGAACACTTGTGACCTGTGGACAAGAAGGAAAAGAAAGGATTGAGATTAGAATTGTTTTAATGACACACAATTGTGGTTTTTGATTTGTCCGATACTGAAGAACTTTTGTCAGTCAATCTATACATTTCTCTCTGATGTATTAGGGGTTAATGTTGAACCTGCAATCACAATTGCAATATTTGGCGTTTTACAAAGAGCTTTTTCTTCACAGTTAAAATATAAAAGAGGTTTTGCTCTCACCAGAATTTGGGCACAAAGTCTCAAAAGGATTTACAAAAACCCTTTAAATTGTGACTTGTTGATCAATCAGTGTTTTCAAAACACTGATTGGGAAATGATCTGCAGCTCTCATGGTGAGGACATCGAGAGCCTGACACACTGCATTACAGACTATATTCTCTTCTGTGTGGATAACACTGTACCAACTAAGAAGGTGCGGTGTTTTTCTAACAACCACCCATGGGTGACCCCTGAGCTTAAAGCCCTCCTGGCCCAGGGAAGCGCCCGCGACGTGTGGAGAGGCCTAAAGAACATCTCCGGCTTTGGACAGAGTGCCAGAGGAACAGCAGATGGAGACCAGCACCGGGCGGACGAATTTAACCAGTACTTCAACCGGTTTGATTCTCCCCCCTCTCCATCTGCCCCCTTCCCGCCCCCACCTCTTCACACGTCCCCAGCAAAGTGGACACCGCCCAGTGGACACTGCCTCCGGCTGCCCCGGGCCCTACTGCCCCCGCATCCCCAGCCCCCACCTCGGACAGTACACCCGGGTCCCCCCCCCTCTCCATCAAACGGACCAGGTGAGGAGTCAGCTCCAGCGCCTGATGCTGAGGAAATCCGCAGGACCGGACGGGATCAGTCCCAGGCTGCTGAGGACCTGTGCAGACCAGCTCTCTGGGGTCCTCAGCTACATGTACAACCTGAGCCTCAGCCTGGAGAAAGGTCCCTGTCCTGTGGAAGACCTCCTGTGTGATCCCGGTCCCAAAAACAGCACACGCCAAGGAACCGGCTCACTACAGACCAGTCGCACTGACCTCCCACCTGATGAAGACAATGGAGCGGCTCATCCTCACCCATCTCCGCTCCGTGGTCAGCCCCACCCTGGACCCGCTGCAGTTCGCCTACAGACCCAACATCGGAGTAGAGGACGCCGTCATCTACTTCCTGCAGCGGACGCTCTCCCACCTGGAGCCCGCCGGGAGCGCTGTGAGGGTCATGTTTTTCGACTTCTCCAGCGCTTTCAATACCATCAGGCCAGCACTGCTGCAGGGGAAGATGGAGGACGCGGGAGTGGACAGTAGCCTCACTGCATGGACCATCAACTACCTCTCAGACCGACCACAGTACGTGCGGCTGCGCAGCTGTGAGTCTGAGGTGGTAGTCTGCAGCACTGGGGCCCCTCAGGGCACTGTCCTCTCACCGTTTCTCTTCACCATCTACACCTCAGACTTCACACACGACACACACAGCTGTCACCTGCAGAAGTTCTCCGACGACTCCGCCATCGTGGGCTGTGTGTCTGAGGGGAACGAACTGGAATATCGGTCGGTTATCAAGGACTTTGTCGACTGGTGTGAGCGCAACCACTTGTGCTTGAACACCAGTAAGACCAAGGAGATGGTCATCGACTTCAGGAGAAAACCACTTTCCCACACGCTGCTGAACATCCAGGGGGAGGACATTGAGCTGGTGGACAGCTTCAAGTAGGGATGTAAAAAACTATGAATTTTCATGACCGACCACCGAGCCTCAATAACCGGTTGAAACCGGTTAACCGCGTAGTTTAAAATAGTCCACGTTCTTTGAAATAACAGCCATTTCGAGCCGCGTACTTTTCATAAGTGCAGCTCTGCGTTCTACTGGATCAGAGTTGAGACAGCGGCGCCCAAACCCGCAACAGCTCCGGCACCTTTGCGCACAGAGAACTGCTTTTTTAATCTTCCCATTCTGCTGTGCTGCGGGTGAATACCAAAACTTTCTAGCAGCAAACGACGGCTCGTTCACATGGTCAGAGCAGCGAGTGACGAGCCGCGTCTCACAGGTCTTCACAAAAGTTTAAATACAAGTGATGTGTGTGGAGCTGATCCCGAGGACCATAAACACAAACATGTTTCCCCTACAGCAAAACATGTAGGGGAAATACGCGGCTCCCAAAGGAGCCGCGTATTTGCGCGAATCCTTTGGGCTTCGTGACACAGAGGAGCGCGACAGACCGGTATGTGTGTGTGTATGTATGTGTGTATGTGTATGTATATGTGTGTGTGTGTAAATGTAAGCTCCAATGTAGTTCTGACCCGCGCCAGTGTGCAACTTTGACGGTAACAGAGGGGAGAGATGATGCGTGTGGATGTTACGTATGGAGAGGGGAAAGTGTGTGTGTGTGTGTGTGTGTGTGTGTGTGCGCGCGTGCGTGCGTGTGTGCATATGTGGCTCGTGCGGCGTGAGAGTCGTCCCGGTGTTTATAATACATGGGCGCACACAGCTAGATACAGACCCGCTCGTCACACCGTGCAAATAGGGCTTAAAATAGCGTTATTAAGAGACCTCCCCTCTCCCCTTTTTCTCTTTTTTTAACCGGCAGCTTTGACCGGTTAACGCTGTGGACGGTCAACCACCGGTTAAACGGTCGCCGATTTACATCCCTAGCTTCAAGTACCTGGGTGTTCACATTAACAATAAACTGGACTGGTCCCATAATACAAACGCCCTGCACAAGAAGGGCCAAAGTCGCCTCTTCCTCCCAAGGAGGCTGAGGTCCTTCGGAGTGAGCAGGCCTCTGCTCAGGACTTTTTATGACTCTGTGGTAGCTTCTGCCATTTACTACGCTGCCGTGTGCTGGGCCCCGGGCAGCACAGAGCGGGACAGAAACAGACTGAACAAGCTGGTCAGGAGGGCCAGCTCCACTCTGGGCTGCTCCCTGGACTCTGTGGAGGAGGTGAGGGACAGGAGGGTGCTAGCCAAAGCCACCTCCATCATGAACAATACCTCCCACCCACTGCACAGGACTGTAGAGGAGCTGAGGAGCTCCTTCAGTGGAAGACTGAGGCACCCTCAGTGTAGGAAGGAGCGCTACCGCAGGGCCTTTATCCCCACCGCTGTCAGACTGTACAATAAGTCACTTTAAATGATCACTGTGTGAAAACCTGCACTACTATTGACACTGTTTCCAATTGACACTTGTCACTTTTGTTGTACATAATTATTGTCACTTTATTGTACATATATATCCTGCATGTAACATGTTTGCACATTTCCTCCCTTTGCACAATCTGAGTGTCTCTATCCATGCCAAATGTGACATGTAAATTTCTCCTCTGTGAGATAAATAAAGCAATCTTATCTTATCTTAAACCATTAAAAAGAGTTTTTCTATAAAGGACTGTCCCGACGTGCTTTTCACTACAACCATTTTTTTATGTTGAAAAATAAAAGTTTTTAAAAGGCTGTATGAGTGGTCAGCCTTTACTTTCCATCACAGAGCACCAGAAAACCTACAAAACAAATGATCCTGGAGCTCTGTAGACACAACCCTGAGCTCTAGTCGGTGTGAACATATATAATTGCATATTGTAAAGAGAGAGCGCAATAGCCAGTTAGACGCACCCATGCTCACCGTTGGTACACTCTCCTCAAGGTCTTTAAAACATTTAGTGGGATAACAGATTCTTTTGTTCATAAATGTCTCTACAGAAAGAGTGTTCTAAAAGTTACATTATGTGAACAAATCAGAGCATAATATTCTGTCTTCATTGTATTTAGGGCAGAAAGCAGCTGAGTGAGGGTGGTCCTCTCTTTTTCACTTTTCTGTCTGAAAAAGTTGATCTAAAGATGTGAAAGAGGCCGAAAGTAAAAGCATGTGCAAACTAGTGATTGGAGTAAACTCTTTTGAGCAGGGTGGATTGTACTAATTCCATTTCTAGTGGTTTGAAGTTAGGTACCCTAGCTTTAATGTACATGATAGTACAGGCTCTTGTGGTTAAACTGTATGCATTCTTTTAAAAATTATATACAATTGAAGTTACTGTCAACACCTTTAATTCTATCTACGTCTCGATCAGCTATCTATCAGAATTAAGATAAGGATTTTAATAGATAGCTGATTAATTATAGGACTAGTTCAATCAATTATAACAATAATCATAATATTTCCACATCTAGTTAAATTGTGAAGTTTCAAAAACAACTATGAACCCGAATAGTGTGGCGGGAAATGAGCACTTTGATGTGACTTATACCAGCACATGAGGAGCTAAAGCAATCCCCCAATGTAATGTTTGGATTATTCTTTATGATAAATAATAATTACAGATGCAAATTCAGGAATGTAGCTAACAAGACCCTCAGGTTGTAAAGCTGTTTGGAAAAAAGTAGCTAATATTGAAATTATAGATTTAAATGTGTTTACAAAATAAGACATACAATGGAAGTACATGTAATCCATACTTTTCCAATTCCAGTCGATGGTGGCGTTCATTTAGAATAGATGGTACCATAAACACTATAATATTTTCACTGTATTCGATGCATGCCCCGAGGAAAGAAATGGCCTATTGTGACATGGAATGTTACTTTCATAATATGCTATGCTTTATTTATACTCTATTATATGTGTTGAATGATTTATATGTGAATTACACACATTATCCATCATGCCATTTGGAAGTCATTGATTTCCCCCAGTCCTTAATACATAATAACTGCCAGATCAATCCAGTGTGAGTCCCCAGGGCCCAGCAGATCAATGCCGGCTCCTCTCGCCAATGTCAAATGATGTTAAAATATGTCTCCGTTAAAATACTCGTCCATTTCACTCTATCCGGTCAAACTGCCACAGTATCAGGCACAGAAATGGGACCATAGAGAGCAAACCGGGTCCAGACAGGGACTATGGGAATGATAACTGTAAGATTAAAACAGCCAACACAGAATGTGTTGATTTTAGAAGTAATACATTCACAACCTAAACGTAAAAGGACCTGCACTTCCTGACGAGACTCTCTCTTTGGTTCTTTCACTGAAGAAGAAATATTATGTTGCTATTATTTTCAGGCTACGTTTGAAAAGAGTGAAGAGTAAAAAACTCTTTCAGCCTGTAACTCCCAAGGCTGCCACCAGAGGGAGGAGTTTAATTTGTTTAATTACATGCATGAAAATGATTACAGCCATGCGATCGCCATTTCACTTGAGATGTTGCCAAAATGAAGACCTTTCAATTTACTGTTAAATTATAAACACAAAGCATAATGTTTCTGGAATTGAGTGAAATTGAAGCACACTTACATGATGTCTATAAAATGTAAGTAACTAACGTTTATTCATTTATATTGCACATATTTACTAACCAGACCAGTTATTGTTCCATTCTCTCCATATGGTGATGACGGAAGTGCGACACCAAACACACCGATGCATCAAAACCTCCAACCAACACCATCCATTCACTCACTCAATACATTGAGACCTATTGTGCATATTCTTAGTAGTAGGGGAAACCGGAGCACCCGGAGGAAACCCGGGGCAAACGGGGGAAACCTACGCAGACACAGGGAGAACCTGTATGAATGAATGAACATGCAAACTCCACACAGAAGGAATCAAACCCAGGACCTTCTCTCTGTGAAGCACAAGCTCCAACCGCTGCACCACCGTGCTGTATGTAAAAGAACATGCTTTTTTTTATAGTAATTTTTATACTTGTCAGAAAGAGCTCTGGAAGTCACTGTTTGAGGCGTTGGGCTGAGAGCTGATTGGCTGTGAGTGAGGGTGGTCCTCTCTTATTCACTTCTCTGTCTGAAAAAGCTGATCTAGATGTGACAGATGCATTTGGAAACTAGTGACCAAACAGTTTTGAGAGCAAAGAGCGATCTAAATAGACTTGACTATTTATTGTAGTACCCAAACATAAAAATATTTGTTGAAAAAAATGACCAAATTTGGGTGCATACATTTGTTAATGCATTAAACCAAAAATAACACTTCTTTTGCCAAAGCTATTGAACTTTATGTTGGATATTTGTAACCAAGGATACTATGGGGTTAAAGTTAGGTACCCCAGCTTTAATATCCAAAATTGTCGCTTCAAACCGTGCATAACAATGTTTCTTTCGGGACCTTTTCAAACTCTCAATCCCGACGTGTGCCCTTTGGTGAACACGGACAGACCTCCTTGGATCGAAGCAGTAAAACCGGCTCGTTGACCTCCGCGGCCTCCGAGCGCCGTGATTGATGTGGCGAAGGCTCTGTGCGTTTAAAGCGCACCAGGGCAATCGCGAGCACACCGTGGCGCCGCTGGAGGAACGTGACATTGATAAGCCCACTCCTACTGTACGAAGTGACAGCAGATCGCTCTTGCCCAGGTTTTTTGCATTTCGCAGACCGGATCGATACGCACAAAATAAGGTTGTGCTACCAATCGCTTTGACTAGAATTGGCCCAAGGTCTCGCTTCTGGGCGCATGGGGGGCGGGGGCGACAGAGACGGCGGAGGTAGCAGTTTGGTGAAGTGGAATAGAGAGTGTGTGTTAATGAAATAGATGTTGTGTTGACGGTGTTAACGAAAGCAATACTGGTCAGACGAGCCTTTTGAGTCCATGCTTTGAGCTGAGAGCTGATTGGCTGAGTGTTCAGACAGAATCTTTTTTCTTTCTGAACAAGATATTTTAACACTAGGTCTCCCAGAACTACTAACTCATGTGATGAAAAACAAGGACCTCCAAAAATGCAGGAGTGACCAAAACAAAAGGTTGAATACACAAAACTCAAAAATAACAAAATCCAATATATAACAGAATTCCAGACTCACAACAAACAGGGACAAAAACACAACAAAACAACAATAAGAGGAAAGGAGCACAGGGTTTAAAACACACACAGGAACACACACAGTAACACACATTAGGGCGAGACAGGCAAACAGGAAGTAACACTGAAAACAAAATAAAACCAAGTATGACGGCTCTGGGAGTGCTTTTAGTTTCAGAATTCTGGGACTCCTCGGGGTGATATTAAGCAGAAGCTGTATTAATATTTGTCCCTTACGTCTGATCGTGGAGCATTTCCTGTGGTAGACTTTAAAATATTGGCATAGATGTGTTTTGACAGATCTGTAACAGCAGGAGCGGCTGGTAGGAACTTCAACCTCCAATAAAGAATAAAGCCATTGTAAAAGTATTTTAAGCACAAAGTTGTACACTATTTTCTGCATAAAAACAACACATGGATTAAAAAAGGCAGGGAAGATCTGTACTGCTCTTACAACATCTGACAACAGGGACATAAATAAATAAATGTATTGTCCAGACCAGGTATAGCTACGATCTATCTCAACGTTTACCGGTCCTCTCTCTTCATCTCTTCTCTGCCTGAAAAAGCAGATCTCAAAATGTACAAATATAATCTTTTTGTTTTTCATCAGCCAAAAAATACCATATCATTTGTTTTATTTCGGTTGTTTTTTTGTGTGTTAATTGTCTCTATTCGATGTCTTCTGATTATGTCATCAATGCTACCTAATAATTCCACCATTATTTTTGGGTGTTTCTCTGTTTGCTAGATAAAAGATACCCACGTTGTTTACATGTTGTCATGACACATCTATGGTATGTGAGCCAGTACCTAGACACACAGATATTGTTACATAAAGGATGAGAGAACATAATTGTAACGCAACTGAACTAAGAAAGGCGTCACTCAAATAATAACAACGGGGAGCAGACGGTGGACACCAGAGCTCTTGCTACGCCGCCATCTTGGATTTCTCTTTGTTTGCGAGGCTATGGCGACTTTTGCACATGTATTCCAATGTGGTTTTCCAGCAAATGGCAACTAAAATTAATCTGAATCTAGTCACAAAGTGCATATTTACAGCTATAATGGATTCCCCCCCCCCTTTCCTCCGCCCCCCGTGGAGCTGCAGCGTGTTGATCCAGACTGGAGTGGCCGCCTGGGACTATCTTTATCCAGCGGTGAGAGCACTTGGCTGGGTGAAGCGTTCAGCAATCACAGCCTATTCAAACAGGTGAGCTCAGGAATGCAGCGCGGATTATGTCACAAAGTTGATATCGCTTTTGCCTGTGAGTATGGTATGTACAGACAAATGTGTTGCATACCATATGTGTAGGATTATTATTGTTATTATTGAAATAAAATACCATAGCTTCAGGCGGAGACGCTCTTTGACTTGTAATCCGCAATAACGTTTAATCCAAGCAGGTCATTTCACACAGAAAAAATGAAGTGGAATTGCTTTTCACCAGGGATGAGAATATAAAAAAGGTGAACACTTTTAATGTTGACACAAAATAGAACGCAGTAATGAAATGGCCTCTAAACAGTTTCACATGCATGTATGGTAGGTCTACGTCACAACTTCAGGACAACTTAGGGGTATTATTTTGGCTGTTGTAGGTGGCGCTGTTCTGTCATTTTTTGAGTCCCATAAAAATAAACACCAAAATATCAAATTTTTCGCCAGGTCTGATTTTTGGGCCAAAATTAACAACTTTTCATGCATGTTCAGGGGGTCAAATTAAGGCTCAAAGTGCAGAAGAAAAAAGAAAGAAAGAAAGAAATAAATAAATTAAAGCCGCAAGCGGCGTCGAACGGCCCTCGCCGCACCGCGCGACTCCCTGCACCACGCTGTCCCGCCTCACGCCGCCCCGCACCAAGCCGCAAAGCGCCGCTTCACAACGCCCCGCACTACGCCGCACCACACCGTACCACGCAGCACCGCTAAAAGGAGGTGGCACCGCCGTGTGATGATTTGTGTCCGTAGCCATAGAAGAATGTTAGACAAATTGTAATGAATATGATAAGTAGAGCTGGTTTGGCTCCCCATGTAAACTTTGATACAGTCTGTAGGGGGCGCTAATGGGCCAATTTCCAATATTTCACTTTAACCTGACCTAAACCCTAGAATTGAACAATGGATTAAAGTTTTGTGCAAATCAGACTTTGTTTGTGCAAACAGGAGCAAAATTAATGTTGTCAAAAAGAGCCAAAAAAACCCTCACATTTTGCCGCTCCGCTGCTCAAACAACGTTTCACGGATCAAAATTCCCTGAAGTCATTTTGAAGGTACATGGGTTTGAAATGATGTGGAGCGATTTTGAGGCGAATCGGTGAAACGGCCGAGGCTGGTTTGATGTTTGTGTGAGGTGTACATTTGCAATGAATGGGGAGCGTTTGTCGTCGCCACGGCAACAGGGTAAAAAATAAGCCTTGGACCCTATTGACTTTATGAATCAAGAGGGCAAAACAGATTTTTGTGCAAAATTTCAAACATTTTGAAAAAACTAAATTTGAAAATGCCCATCTAAAATTTTGAAATAGTCTGTAGGGGTTATATAGGGGTTATATTGTGTCAATTTGAATCATTTGACTTTCAAATGACCTAGACCCTAGAGTTGAACAATGTATTAAAGTTTTGTGCTATACAGAGTTTGTTTGTGCAAACGGGAGCAAATTTTATGTTGTC